GCATCAACACTTTTCTCCGAATATAATCCTTCAAAACCTTTAACGTTGTTTCTTACATGGATTCTTACATGGCCATTATAAGCACTCCTCTCTTCAAATACCTTGTGGCAGAACTCACATTCATACTTTCTGTCTTTAATTATAATGCCCTCACCAACAGATGGCGTTGTTCTTATCCTTTTTGTGGTGTGCTGGTGAAACGATAACAGATGCTCCAAATATGCATCTTTTTCATGAAATCTCACGTTGCATTTATAACACTCAAAGAGGTCTTTAAGCAGAACATCAGGAAGGATATCAATCCCCTCCAGAAAAAGTTCATTACCTTGTGTCTCAGTCACTGAATGGACATCCAAGTCATGGTTTCCAGTATCATCACCAGGGAGAGAACCTACATTCTGGAAGTATCTCTTTTAACGCACTGTAAGAGCAATATGAGTATACAAAGCTGCATAATAACTTTAGATGCTTACATTTTCAGAGTTTGAACCAGTGAGTTGCATAATGGGTGATGGCCTGTGATCTGTGACCTGATTTGCATCAATCGACATAAAGTGGGACCGCAGGAAGGCTGCTACTTCCTTGCATGATAGAAACTGTTGACCGGTAGGGCTGGAAAAGGACAAGATCACATCAATAGAAAAGAAGATAATGATAATAATAATAATAGCAAATATTTCTAGAAATTTTTCACATGCAGTTCTAATCAGAGATTGTCAAAAACCTACTACTACTCCAGTTGCATCAAATTGCATATAGTTTTAAGATTAATTCAGACATTTCCACCTCCAACGGTTGTTTATGTCTTGACTTCATTTTACGAAGAAGGACGTGCAATTCGATTTAAGATCATTTACATTACATTAAACTGTTTTTCAACTTTCATTAGACATTGAACCCAACGAAAGGTCACACATTAATCGGGATTATGAACTATACACTATGAGGACAAAGAAGGCTAATTTCATAATTCATACTCCAAATGGTTTTAGTAAACACTAAGTGAAGTTGAACTCTAACTACCAAGGAGTTATGATATTTCTATGAGGATCGATAAAAGAAACACAGCTACTTTGCAAGCTTTAGAAAATAGATGTCAACGTCCTTTAGGTATAAAGAAATAGGCAAGATATCTATAACAAGAAAGAAAATTACTTCCAGTAAGAACATGAAGAAGAACATGTTCTTTCATGAATAACTGTTAGATCTGCATTCCGATGCATTAAGTTGCAGAGTTTGTAGGCAAACCAATTTTTTTCACAAACACAGAAGTTTATCATGGAACAAACAGTATATGAAGCGACCACACAACAATGTATGGAATCATGGAACATAAACACACTGCAGTGAGTGCAAATGTGATGAACCACGAAAAATACCTTACATATCTGCGGCAATACACGGAGACACGCCCCTCCCGTCTTCTAAGGGCTATTAACAGCTTCCAACCAACTGGTAATGTGTCCCCGAAATCATTAGCATCAACATATTTCCTCTTCATCCTCCGGCTACACCATTGCCCTTCCAAGCTACTCAAGAAACCTAAAGCCTCCTCCTCACTTTCCAGTCCAATAGTTCTCCTCCTCAATTCCTCATCAAATGCTCCATCCCCATTTTTCTCCATTGTTGTAAAATCAACTACCACATTGTTCTTATTCACCAGCTCCAATTCATTATCCACACCACTCGCCTGTACCCTCGGCTTCACATAGAAATCATCTTTGGTTCCTTGTTTCCTCTTTCCATTCCCTGTTTGCGCCAGAAGCCCGGTAATTTTCTGCAGAGGCAGTGGCTGTGTTGGGCGAGAAGACGGATGAGGTGGTGGTGGAGGTGGGGGAGAGTCAGAATCGGGATTTCTCAAGAAGTATTTGAGGTAGTGAACTACAGCTCGGTTGGAAGGGTCAGCGGAGGAAATGGGGTTGGGGCTAGAGGCGGAAGGGAAACGAGTGGGGAGGTGGTTGCGGTGGTGGCAACGGCGGAGGCGAGAGTAGGTCTGGCGCCTGCTTCCGGCCGATTCGTTGAAGAGGGAGCGGTCAACTTGGGGGAGGACGAGGTCCTCGGTGCGGCGGGTGTCGAAGGCGGAGCAGGAGCAGAGGGAGAGCGCGAGAAGCTCCGACTGGGTGAGCTTGCTTAGGTCGACGTGTGGAATCACGTCCGGCACGGAATCGCGCGACGCCGGCGTCATTTCGGAGATTGGACCGGCGGGAATTTGAGAGCAAGAGCAACAATTACATCGGAGTAGAGACGGCGAGGGAGCGGCTGCCGGGATAGGCTGTGGCGTGGATGGGCACCACCAACAGGTGACGCATGTCTGAAAAGCGGACAGCTGTTTCCTTCTCCGCCAAATGCTAATTACTCACTCCCTCCCAAGTTAAAAGAGTATAAAATTTATTTATAATTAAATAAAAATTACATGCTATATTAATTAAATAAAGACATATTCTAAAAAATATTTTATAAGAAGTCCAATGAAGATATTTTTTTCACATATATATGTGAATTTTGTTTAATTGATCAAAATTTATTGATTTTGACTGCAAAAAGTAAAATTATATAAAAACTCTGAGGCAAAGTAGTATTTGTTTGGACTTTTATGCTAATTTTGATTAAAAGTTAAATATAGTTTTAAATAAATATGGAGTAAACGTTATAAAAATTTGATATCTCAAATTTTAACATAAAACGAATCTAATTATATCAAATTTATATTATAATTAAATATCTTTTTCACAATTTATTATTAAAATTAACATAAAAGTCAAACTAGCACAAACAATTTAGGACGAAGAGAATACTATCCGATTACTTTGATGAGCTATGGTGTCGTGACTAGTGTCTAAGACCCTTGTCACGCCCCTGTAGGTGTGCCCCGTGCTCCACACCGAAGTTACCACTTCTTGGATAAGTTGTAGTACATCTGATTGTACGATTGTTGCTGTATAACCGGAGACAATTTTGGAGAATGGTGTGGGATTACCGACACGTGAAAAAGAAACACATGTTGCACGCGAGAAGAAATGTATCATCCCTTCAACACTCTAAGAGCGTTTTTAATGGAAAGATATTGCTCAGTTTTTAAAAGTTGATGTGGAGTATAAGTGGAGTTTTTACTTAATTTATCAAAGGAGTTGTTTAAGAAAAAAATCATTCATTAGCTAAGAACCCTTCTAAGTAACTCCCGCTAAAATTGCTCTAACTAATTTGTGAAGTTATTATGAAAAAGGAGTGATGAAGGAGTTGTTTCGTGGCATTCTCTTTCTTTGTTATCCAAAAGAATGACAAATTACATTTTAAGAGAATAGACGAATAGTTAAAATTGTTAATCTGTCACCTATAAAAATATTCATTATACAATTTCACTTTTTTTATACTATGTAAAAGTTAATCGAATAAATATATTTAGGTGCGGAGGAGTTTAATATTATTTTATTATTCCATAAATTATACTTTCACACTAAAGTGCATGACTTTAAAAATATCTTCAATGTAATTAGAAGGAGAGGGAGTATAACATTAAGTCATTAACCTATTACAGAGTATTTTATTACTAGTACGGAGTACATTATATTTCAAAGTTGGTCAGACCGAGTTCGAATTCGATCATATTTGACTCATTATTTAGAGAGTTATATCGGGTTTCTAATCTTTAAATTTGATTAACAAAATCTTTGTTCAAAAGTTAATACTATCTCTCGCGTTAAAGATTTGTTCAGTTTTAATTTTTTATAATTAAATTTGATAAAATTTAACCATTAAATATTTGTCCAGCATTGATCTCTATCCTTTAATTCGGATTAAACACAAATTAGTTAAATTATACTCCATCCGTTCCTGAGTGTTTGTCCACTTTCATTTTTGCACACCATCCAATGCAGAGAAGGTATATGGTACAACCGGATGTACATAGAGATAGGTACATCCGGGTTGTACACATTCTGAAACAAAGTAGTACTCATTCTCACACAAACATAATTATTTATTTTGAAAACGTGGTACTCATTCTAAAATAACGCAGTACTAATTCTAAAATAATGTAGTACTCATTTTCACACATTTATTCAATACAGTTATAATATTTATCCACAAATAATGTAGTGTTCATTCTAAATAAAAATAGTACTCATTCTCAAATAACTTAATACTCATTCTAAAATAAAATAAAACACATACCATAAATAACCTTTTTCTATTTTTATGCAAATAGGGTTTCATCCCAGCCCTCCTCCAGCGGCTTTCTTTCTACCCTACCCGCTGTAAGTAACACCGCCGCCACCTTCTCCTTAAATCTTCCTTCTCCATCGTTTTCTCTTGATTTTCGCCACCATTGCTCTTCTTCATC